GGGGGGGGGCGGGGTACTCATGTTTTGCGTCGGGGCTTTTCATTACGCAGAAGACGTGTTTCGCGTACACCACCTGCACACACAAACATGGTGCACGAGCGCCGGAGGAGGGGGGAGGGGGGTATACTCATAGTCGTGCATGCCGGAGTCGTTTGGCCATTGACATTGACCTCCCATCCCTACAAAGCCGGGACGGAGCGATACCGAGGTTTCGCCGGCTCAGGCAACGTTTCACAGGGGTGAACCGGAGGGGGAGGAGTAACGATCACTTGTTGTTGCCGAGTTCATTTGACCTTGAACCAACTGCTGTGAGTCATCCCGACGAAGCAACATGAGTACATAGGATGGCCCATGTGATCAGCTCCATCTACAGTTGTCGCCAGCAGCGGGAGACACGTTTGAAAGGAGGCCGCCGGGTTTTTCTCGTCCATTCCTCTCTCGTATTTTCATTTTTGGGAACCCGCGACTTCAACAACGGCTTTCAACACTGGCTCGGCGTGTTTTCTATTCGGGGTACATGCCCCCGGGACACAGAGCCAGTCCTCACGTCTCGTAGGCGTCGAGCATGGTACTGTGTAACGGGTGCCCAGCGAGAGCTTTGGACATGCACCACAATGTACCGAGAGACCCCTTCTTGCCTGTCTGCCAGCAAAAGGCATGAGAAAAGCTCCAGCGCGCGGCCAGACAAAAAGCTATAAGGCCGAAAGAGACGACACAAGACAACGAGCGAATGTTTCAATGTCCATAACTATGACGATAAGGACACCGAGATATGTCTCCACGTTCAGAAGTCATCACGATCAATTCAGTCGGCTCGGGACTCACCAGCCAGTTGCGCACGGTGCGGCCGCGCTCCACGTCCACGAGGACGCGGCGGCCGTCGATCTTGCGGCCGTCTCCTCTCTTGTAGGCCACGCGCATGTCGTCCTCGTTCTCGTACTCCACGAAGGCGTAGCTACACACACGCACGTTGGGGACAGTGAACGTGGGTGTGCTCTTTACTACTATTAGCTTCGAGGGTGAGTTTGTGTGCCGTGGGCGAATGTATCCATTGGACATGCGCCTGGCTGGTTGCTCATGTATCACACACAAGATGGATTTGCAGACAGGAGGCGAGATATGTGGGCACAACCAACCAGCAGCCGTAGCAGTGGACGAATACTGCTGTGTTCAAAGAAAAACTCTGCCACACTTCTGAGAGAGCTGCAGCAAACACTACTACATGAGCAGCAGCAGCGAACAGTCTTGAATCTGCAGCGCTTGGTGCAAAAGCAAACATTGACGGCGGCCCACGAGAGGCTCACGCGCGTGCTTGCTCGAACTCCGGGGGGAATTCGTAGCAAACAGGACGCACAAGAACAGAGAAGCAGGAGGGAATCGAGCTTGGCCATGTCTTGTAACTTTTAACACCACTGTAGAGACAGATGGCGATCTCTCTGTCTGCCTCTGCCTCTGTCTCTCTCTCTGCCTGCCTGTCTGCCTCTCTTTTTCTGACCGTCTCATGCTTACTCACCCCCTAGGCTTGCCGTCCTCGTCCTGCACCATGCGGATCGACTGGATGCGGCCGAACTGCTCGAACTCCCTGCGCAGCTTCTTCTCGGTGGTGTCGTAGCTGATCTTGGCGATAAAAAGGGTCTTGTACGCGTCGCCCTTGGTCTTAGGGTCGTCCTTCGGATTCCACTTGGAAATTTTGTCCTTTAGGCCTTCCTCATCGGTCTGTGCCCGTTGAACATGGCGCGCGTGTTTGTTGGGTGCGAGTACATATGGTTGAATATGTTGTTCGGTGCGAGTACATGCCGTTGCGGTTCAAGTTTTGCGATTTTGAGGTGGTGGTGGTGGTCATGGCTGTTCGTGTGTTCACGATAAAACCCGTCCCGGCTTGCAACCAGCGGTGCCTGCACAGCATCCGGACTGATCCCCGACCCATGTTCTCAGATGAGTGTACTTGACGGACGTGTGCGTGGTAACGCGTGCGTGCGCGAGTTTTATGCGCTCTTGTGTCCTTGGTTGCCAGTCGTGCTTATGGGCAAGTGGGTCTTGGTATTCTTCGTGTGCGCTGCTGATTGCCTGCAGCCTGAAAAAGATATTTGCGTGTGGTGTTCGATACTCTTGTCACCTCATGGTGCGCAACAACACATCCAGCTAATGTTTGGCTCTTCGACTCGGGTCTACTGAGCCCTGCTTTGGCAGATGCGAACCTCAGGGTGTTCAATGCGGTTGCGACAATCATCCGCCGGGGGCCAAACGAGCAATACGAAGCTAAGTCAGCCTTTGCAGGTCGCCCTGTGCATCTTGGACGTTGTCCTTTCGACCTCTGCATCGATCACTTCTCCTTTGCTTTCGTTGTCTTAAAAGTCAAAAGAACGCGGTTTGAAACATACTCCCAATGACATGAGCACTCATGCTCGAATCTCCTATAGGTAAGCCTGGCGTCCAAGACCGCCGGGCAAGCGCAATCCATACTGATGAAACAACGCACGCACACATACACACGCAGAGAGTAGCATAGCCTCCCCCATGACGCCCCCTCACGGGGTCCCAGATCACGGCCTTTAGAAGCATTTTGTGCTTTCAACCGCACTCAGACTGACGTCTTTTCATTGGTCAGCCGGTTAGCGCGGTCGATGCAAATCATAACACACACACACGACAACCGACACGCGGGTGGGAAGAGGGGGCAAGCACACCGGAGGAAAAACAATTAAAGTAAGCCGTCTCAACCAGAGATTTAACGCCAACATATGCGCACCTTCTTCTTCGCTGCGGCGATCCGGGCGTGCTTCTGCCTAGGGGTTTCAAACTTCTCGGGCGGCGGGGGCACCCCCTTCTCGAAGAGATTGGCCGCGCCCTTGCCCTTGAGCATCGCCGCCACCCCCTCCACCGTGGGAGGCTTTCGCTTGCAGACGCTCTTCTTGAACTCCAGTGGCGGAGGGGGTTCGAACATGGCTCGCATGGCTGTTGTTGTTGTTGTTGTTGTTGTTGTTGTTTCCCCCCGAATTGCGTCCAACCAAGAGAAAGCAAGCAACCGGCAGCAGCAACAGCAGCATGTTTGACAGCGGGGTTCGGGAAACAGGGTGTAAGATCAAGGCTTACGGGTGTAATTACAGCAGCGCCTTGGCGGGTAGAAAGGTGTTGCTACAGGTATCGTGTTTCCTTATGCTTAGCGACAACACCAAAGGGAAACATGCCACCCGGGCGAATCCTATGTAGCAGCAACCCACCAGCCTGTCGGGAGGCTTTATTTGTTTTATGCATAGAGCGCGCTATTGCTGTTGGTCAACCTACCCCCCCTCCTGCAACCACACTGCTGTTGTTGTGGGAGCAAGAGTTGGCGCGGCGAAATTGAAAAAATTGGGTGTGTCGGTGTTTGTGCGCGCTTTTGTGCACGTTTTCCAACTCCCAATGCCAGGTTTTCGTCTGCACGACAGCATCAGTGATGCAATCGCCAAGGGAGTTCAATCGCCCACCAAACCTCTCTGTGCAAGGTTATATTGGTAGTCACAAGAAGTCCTGCGGCTACGAAAGAGCGCGCAATCGCCACAGCAACGGATACGTCCTCTTCTTTCACTGGGGGGAAAGTAAAAGCCAACAAACACCAACGACCTGCCGGTGCAGAGCAGCACAGGCGTTCGAAAAAGAGAGCTCACCTCCCTCCATCATCTGGATGGCCGGTCCTCCCTTCCCCATGGACATCTGCCCCCGAGGGGTGTTACGCCTGTTCATCGTGGCTGCCTTGGTGTCTTGCTCCCCACCGGGGCCAAAAGACTAAGTTGATTTCTTTCTTTTGCTCTCTCTCGCTCCGCCCAACCAGGACGTACGTGCACAGAGAACAACAACAGATCCTTCTTGTGATTTAGCAACGCAGGACGCGCACGGGATCCTCCTTCTCTGTCCTGGCGAGTTTGGCGTGTTCGCTCTGCTGTCCTGCTGCCGGCCGGGGCTGTGGCCGTGGCCCGGAGAGGGGGGGTCTCCAGAGGAGATTACAAGTACATATGTGCACATATCGAACGAGCACAAAAAGAAAGGGGGAAGGTATGTACGGTTAATACGATATTCTCAACTGCGAGTCCCCCGCGTGCACACCTCTCTGGCCATGACCATTATCTCTGTCTCTCCTCATCCTTGAGGGGTGGGCGCTTGCACAAGCAGCGCGGGGGTGCCGTCCGGCCTAATATGAGCAAGTCCATCAAGGTAAGATCTTTTTTCTGTTTGAATGCGGGGCGGCTGAAGGCACTTTGCCCGCGAGTGGTTTTCAAAATTTGCAAATTCGATGCGCAGAAAAAATTCAAAAAATGGCCAACGATCCAACGATCTGAAGTAAAGCAGCGCAGTTGATGGCATCCATCCGACCGCTGCATCGCACCACTATAGCTATACCCCGTCGTTTCTACATGACCTGGGCCTTATGCATGGATAACTGGAGCGCGTGGATGTAAAAATCCAAGTGCGATTGTGTGTGGCGTCAATGCGGATGTGTTTATTTGTCTGTCGAAATGAACACGAACAAAACACCCGTCCCATTTTCGAAATTCGGTGCAATGAAGCAGATTGCTTCGGGACCTCTTGCACCCCGCGAGAGCTGAAGCCCACACCATACCACACGTGCCGTTCGCAGCAGTGGCCGTGCTGCTACTGTCGGGCCGTGAAGCTGTGTGTGTTTTCACCCAACTTATAGACCCTCAGCAGTCACTTCAAGTATCGCGCCATCACCTCTTGAGCAGCAAATCATTATGTCTTCCGACCGTGTAGCTTGTAGTACACGACCATCAACGACGGACGTATTAGTCTACTGTCACACCAGTGTGTTTACATGTTTACATAGTGTTCAGACCTACGAAAAAGGTGGCATGGCCTGACACATATGCCTCTGCCTTGGAAGTAGCACGGTTCCGATAAGATACGCAGGTGCCATGACAACACCTACACTATGCATTCGTATGTATGCCATGTGTGCGAATCGCATTTTAACGTCGGCTAGACAATCACACCAAACGTCGGATAAATATAGACAGCATCGGCCGGGAAAGATGTCGGTTGTCGCAGTTTGACCCCTTGACAGCCGTCAAGAACCTAACGTCCACAGTAAAACTAGTAGTACATTTCCCAAATAGAGGCCTTGGCAAGCTGTCAAACGAGCAACAACCGACATCTTTGAAAATACATATCAATAAAATATTCAACTACAAATATTGGCCGTGCCTCAGCCCGACGACGCATGCAGGAACGATTCAAAATCGCGCGCGCGTTGGTGTTTCTTTGTTATTCGCATCGACCGCGCTAACCGTCACAGCGTGGTGTGTGTGTCTTTAATATTAGCATCGACCGCGTTAACCGGCGGACCAATGAAAAGACGTCAGTCTGTGTGTGTGTGTGTGTGTGCAGGCGAAGTGTCGAGTGCTCCACTCGAGGAAGACGACCAACCGGCCCGTCGGCCAGGCGGTCCTTGAGGACAGGCTAAGGTTCGACGCGGACAGCAAGACGATCACCGCCGGCAGCAAGAGCAAGATGAAGGTGGGGGTGGGGGTGGTGGCGGTGTCGTTGTCCGTGGTGGTGGTGGTAGCGGCGACGCGGAACTCAAGACGATCGCCCCGCCGGTAACTAGGAGAAAATATCAACGTGCGTGTTTGTTGTCGCTGTGGTGGTGGTGGTGGTGGTGGTGGTGGTGGTGGTGGTGGTGAAGTCGTTTGTTGATTGCTGCTGCCGACCGAACACGAAGCCGCTCTCAAGCACACCTTCTTGATCAACTATTGTAGTATCCGTCTGACTGCGTTCACCACGTTGTGGCTGCTGTCTTTGCTGTGCTATTGACAGCTGTCCGATCTCGAGGTCCCGCCTCAAGAAGCGAACGGAGAGGTGCAGCTAGTCTCGCGGAACATGCGCATCGTCACAGACTCCACGACCGACTCGCGAGAGCTTCTTGCGTCGGTGAAGGAGGCGTACCGACTTGAGAGCGGCGGTGGCGGCGGCGGCGGCGGCGGCGGCGGTCGCAAGCGGGGTGGTGGAAGCGGAGGAGGCGGCACGCCGAGAACGAAAGCCTTTAAGCCGTTGAACACGCTTAACCTGGTCTCACGCCCCCCCGCTCAAGCCTCCCGCGGCGGCAAGCGCGGGAAAAAAATGGCGTCGGTAGCGGCTGCGGCCGGTGGTGCCGCTGGCGGTGATGCTAAACGCCACCGATCGGCTCTGGGCGGCATGGGGGCGATGTCTTCGGGTACGCTGTACAGGGGGGGAGGAGGGCTGGAGCGCCGGGGATCGGGCAATGATCGTCGGGGCTACAGAGCCGGCTGCGACGACGAAGAGGTGATATTTGGTTTTTCATCCTGTCGACGCCGTCGCTAGAAAAAATAACGCTGCTTGCTGCCCGACTTGTCTCATCCACGGCTGCTGTGTGAAGTCAGTTTCTTGTTTCCTTTGGACCGATCAACAAGAAGACTCGGTTGTTGTATGTTGTATGGCCAGCGATGATGCAGAAAGTTCGAAATATGATGGAGTTTGAGTCCGCGGAAGGGAACGGGAGACATTCAGACGGACAGACAAGAGAGACAGAGCAAACGCATTTTTTTTTGTATCAACGCGTAGTCGAAGAACTTTCGGCACGCAAGTTATCCCGAAGACTGAGCGTTTCATGAAGACGTATAAACTTCAGAGAGAGAGAGAGAAGTATGACTGGTTCTGAATTTTCATGGAAGAAGCGGTAGCTGATCGATGTCCAGCCCCCCGAGGTGGTGTGGTGTACTTTCGTTTCTGGTGCCCCCGGCGAAGATGCCACGTCCAATAGACATAGGATCAAATGCCTTTGCCAGAAATCACGACAGCCGACCGATGCCCCTGAAACGCCGTAAGCCTGTTGTATCGATCTCTCCACCGCCTCCCATTTTTTCTGTACTCGCGTTTAGGATTCGCGCGCCCGGGTACATAACGACGTTCGTTTATTTTAGTTTTGTGCTGTTCAGCTGCTAAGGTCAGAAGCAAGTGACGTTTTTTTTGTCACGGGGTTCTTCCCGTCTCCGTTATAAAGAAGAATGCGAACATCAGGTAACAAGGAGGCGGGTGGAGTCTAAACCCTCTCCGACAAAGTGTTTTATCTTCCTGGACAACGTCGTCATTCGTCGAGTTCAACCTCTTCAATTTTCGATTTTTAGGATTGTTAGAATGCCAGCTACGGGAGCCCTATGATGCATCTCTCTTTCTCTCTGTCTCTCTTTCTCTCTGTCTCTCTTTCTCTCTCTCTCTCTCTCTCTCGCTATCTCCCTGTCTCTCTCTGTCTTTCTCTCGCTATCTCTCTCTCTCTCTCTCTCTCTCTCTCTCTCTCTCTCTCTCCTCCCTCCTGTGTGCCAACGAAGCCATACCATATTTCGAAAGTGTCAAACGCAATCTTATGACGACAGCAGGCGGTAAACATCGTAGACGTGAATATGCCGTAAGACCCCGAACGAGCCAAGAATGAGAGAGACTGTGAGACGGCGGGACCGCCGATTGCTGGTGCGGCTGATAAAAAGCGCAAAGTGTGGTGTCGCAACTCGTTCGCAACAGGGGATGGACGTTGCCCGTTTTTCTGGTGCGGTTGTTTTGTTCCCAACGGTTGGTGAGATCGGTCCAGTGCGTACCATGTCTACGCATGACGAAGAACGAATCATAGGTATTTGCTACCGCTTCGCATGTCGACAGCAACACTGGTCCTTGACATTCTTTCCCCCTTGCTCGCCTTGGTGTCACAGCTATCAGAGGCGGAGGAGGCCAACAGCAGCAGCAACACCCACAGCGAAACCAACAGCAACAGCAACAGCAACAACATTGGCCGTCCCGGCATCCGCAACAACAACGACAGCGGTGGCGGCGGTGGCGGCGGCGGCGGCGGCCGGTGCTACGGCAGCGGCGTTGGAGGCAGGTTCCAGACAAACAGACGGAGGCGGGAGGCGGGAATTGGCGGCACCTCCCCTGCCGCCCGCGGCAACGGCGGGTCCCCCCCGGCCCCGCCTCTGCTTAAAGGGGCGGCGGCGGCGGCCGACAGGAGGGGTGGCATCCACAGCAAGAGCGGCAGCATCGAAAGCTGCTGGTGAGCGCTACTGCTGTAGCTTATGAGGGGGGACGGGGCGGCTGAGTTGTTGGGTGCGAGAGACAAGCAGAGGGGCTGCTGCTACTGCCGATGGTGCTTTATCTGCGTTTTTTCTTTTTTGTTTTCTGCGCTGCTGCTGCTGCTGCTGCTGCTGCTGCTGCTGCTGCTGCTGCTGCTGCTGCTGCTGCTGCTGCTGCTGCTGCTGCTGCTGCTGGCATGACCTCAAGGCTTGCTTGTTCGTTCGGCCCCTCTTATCGAAAAGGAACGACCGAAGAGGACGGGGAGGAGGAGGAGGGCAGCAGCTGACGAGGTACATGACACACCGCGAGCCGTTGTCGCGCAGGGAGGGGTTCCGCAACATGGGCAACACGTGCTACCTCAACGCCTGCCTGCAGGTCGGGTGACGGTTCCGTATCGCTGGTCGTGTGCTTCGTTGGTATTGGCTGTTGCGAATGGTCCATTTCTTTGTTGTCCGGCTGGGTTGTCCTGTATTGCTCTGATTTGCGGGTCCTGACATCTGTCCAGTACTCTTATACTCCTGTACTCCCCCTTTGGGTCTTGCAAAGCCGGTCCTGACCTCTGCCCATTACCCTGACTCCTGTGCTCCTCCTTTTATTCTTGAAAGCCAGCCCTGACGTCTGCCCTTTACCGTAACGTCTGTACTCCCCCTGTGCTCGAAAAGCTTGTCCTGACATGTGTCCAACGGAGTAGAAACGGACTCTCTTTGTGGTAGTCACCGGCTGGTGCCCCCCTCCAAAAAAAAAGGCTCAAGTCCTGCCGCTCGCGAACCTAGCTGGCCGTACTGTCACGTGCTGTGCTGTGCCCTCCGCCGTGGCGTGGCCGGACGATGCTGGAAGGAATGGCAATTTTTCCGTGTAGATATGTTCGCGTGGTGCACAGCCCTTTTCATCAACCAAGCGATGACGGCGCGTCCAGGAAGCCCAATCAGGCCTTTCCTTTCGGATGCAGACTTCAGCTGGGGAAAATCGCGTTCTCGTGCCCCCCCCCGGTCCTCCCGTCATTCCCACAATATCCCCTCATTGCTTCGTCCACACCTTGAAGCGATCGAACCCGCCCTAAAACACTCCAGTCGATGCTTTACGGACACCCGCCCCCAGGGATTGCTGTCGCTGTCTGGCTTCGTGGGCGATCTCCGCCGGAAGTGCTGGGTCCTCGCCATGCTAAAGCCGCCGCCGCCAGCGGCCACCGGCGGCGTTGACGGCGACCGTGTTGATGTCGCGGGAGGCGGCGACGGGGGCGGCGACGATGCGATCGATATCCGAGGTGACTTGCCCGGGGAACGTGATGAAAATCCTTGCTTGCTGCACCCCCCCGAGAAATTCTCGGTGACCGCGGTGACGGCGACGGTAGGGGCTCGTTGTCCGCTTTTGGGTGGTTTACGATACTCACCAACAGCCAAACCGGGGAGAATAAGGACTGGCGAACGGTCGAAGGAGGCTAGTCCGCCTCGTGATGGGTGCAATGTGGCACATGAGCGAGTTCTGTGTCGATAGGCTATGCGTTTTTTGATACTCGCTCTCCCTCCTTTCTGTCGACGCGCACGACCCGCACTCGGTCAGCAAGCCCCATGCATTTTTTTGGCCTTTTCTTCGTCTCTCCCTAAGATTGCGTGCAATAATAAGGAAAGACGCCGCGGTATGTAGATTGCGCACGGGGGGCAACTTCGGCATGGATTATATGGCAGGTCGATCGCCCCCCAAGGTACCCGTACGTAAGAAGCCAAAAGAGTTGATGTGCCGATGCTATTCTTTTGCACCCTAAGACCGCACATCTCAATGTTGTCGACACCTCTGCCTTTCGTCTTGCGTTTTCGCTCCCCCCCACCTCTTCTACCGGACCGGACGCACGATCACCATGTGCACACACGAAACACCCCAACATGAAGACTCTCCACACCCGCGAGCGGTGGCGGTGAACGACGACGATGAGGACGGAGGCGATACGCCTACGCCGCCGCCGCTACCGCCCATCCTGTACGAAGCCCTGCTCCGGCTGTCCCTGGAAGCGAGGGGATCCCACGGGCTGATGGACGCGTCCCCGCTCAAGAGGGCCATGGACAGGCACTCGTGAGTCGCCGTCGGTTGTCAGCGTCGCCGGCGCCGTGTTGTGATTGGTTGGTTGGTTTTGGCCCTGTTGCCGTGATGTGCGGCGGCGTCTCTTAAGTGCGTTTTTTCGTACAGCACGCTTTCTTGTCGTCGTCATCGTCACCCCCCCCCCGGCCCGGAGGAGGTTGGACGACAGGGTCCGGTCAGTCTCCGACTTCAGGCTACTTGCGGAAGACGCAACACAACTACTGCCAGATATGTGTGTGTGCGTTTTCTGTTGTCATTGGCATTCGTTTCTCGCGTGTGTTTCGCGACCTTACTCTGCTTGTCTGTCTCTGGTGCTGTCGGCTGTGGTACTTGTGTCCGCATGCGGCGTCGCAGCCTTTCTCTCACTACGCATCTACCACAACAGCGCCAGAACAGCGGGTATCTGTCGGCGTGCCCTACCCCCGCCTGGCGTACCTTACCCCCCCCCCCCGCCCCTTTCGCCTGCTGCCCATTCGCTGCGAACAGAGACCGTTTCGCCGGTAACCTCCAGCAAGACGCCCACGAGTTTCTCGGCGACCTCGTTAACGTCCTGCACGAAGAGACGCAACCCCGCCTGGACATCGCCGCCGGGTACGTTGGAAAGCCTCTTGCTGCTGCTGCTGCTGTGAGCGGAGGTGGGGACAAAGGGAAGAAGGTGGAGGTGGCGGTGGGAGCGGAGCGATCCGGCAGAACCCGAAAAACAAGTAGCGGCGGCGGCGGCGGCGGCGATGGGGGGTTTGGTAGTGGTGGTGGCGGTGGTAGTGACATTGGTAGTGGCGATAGCGGCGGTGGGGTGACGATGGTCGATCTCAGCTCCACCGACTCGGGAGACGAGGGGCGGGAGGAGCCCGACGTTTACGGCGGAGGTTGGGACGACGGCGAGGACTTCGCTGCTGCCGCTGAAGCTGCTGCAGCCGCCGCCTCCGCCACCGCCACCGCTAGCGGTAGTGCTGGAAGTGGCGGCGACGGTGGCGGCGGCGGCGGTGGCCGTAATGGTAGTGGTGGTGGTGGTGGTGGTGGTGTTTTTGAGGTGTTCGACTTGGATTCCGACGGCAGCTGTAGCGATGACGATCGCAACGGCACTACTGCTGCTGCTTCATCGCCTCCTACGGCGCCAAAGCTGTCGACGACGACGACAACGGCCAGGGGGGAGACACGAACGGAGGGTGGGGATGAGGACGGCGAGGGGCCGGAGGGGGGTAGAGAAGACGAAGAGGCGCTACGACAGAAGGAGCGGCTCATGCCGACCACGAGACACTTCCACGCCGAGGTCGAGGTACGCGTGGCGATGTTGTCGTTCTTTGTTGTTGTTAGATGTATCTGCTTGAAATTTGGTAGAAACCGGTTTGTCTCCCACTCGCTGCTGCAAAGGCTTCAACGCATCCCCTTCGACGGTGGTTACTGTCTCGAACGAGGAAAATAGTGTTTGGTCTACGTTCGTATCGTAATCACGTGGTTGTACAAGTACCTCTACGAGACTACCGTAGTTGCCGATCTCACATCGACGTTCTGCTGTCGGGTTGCTGCCTGCCGTGTCGCTTGCCGCTTGAAAGAGAGGAAGACGACGGACTTGCTCGGTTGTGACCGCTGGCGCTGCTGTATTTTCGTGACCTAAAGCCCTTCAAGCATGCCGGAGGAGGGGCAAAAAACGCTTCGCTGTTGGCACATCACGCCATCGAGCTCTCTCTCTCTCTCTCTCTCGCTCGCTCGCTCGCTCGCTCGCTCGCCCCTTGGCGTCATTTGATAAACCCAATCCTTCAGCGCAGTGTGATCGCTGACGTAATCATCCTGTTACCCCCCGCCCTTTCCCTCTGGTTCGGACACGATGCTCCCGCCTCCGCCGCCATTGCCTGCGCGCTCCCGCCAGGCCACCCTCACGTGCACGAAGTGCTCCTACTCCAGGCGACGGCGAGAGCTGTACCGCGACTTCTCCCTCGACGTCCCAGAGCCGGCGAGGCGGAAGCAGCAGCAGCAGCAGCAGCAGCAGCAGGAGAGGGGAGGGGGAGGAGGTAGGACCGGCGGCGGCGGTGACGGTGGCGTTTCCGGGCTGGGGGACCTTTTGGACAGTTTTTTCCAGCCTTCGGTGAGTGTGTCCGTCGACTGGTGCCGTCGTGGGGGTACATCTTCCGGAGCCAAACCTGCTCTTCTTTTTTATCCGCGGTCGCGAAAGCTCTGCAGCTGCTGCTGTCCGTTACGAACTTGCAGGCTTCACCTTGTGGTACCTAATCGTGCGTGAGGAGGTTCCGGGCGTTTGCTTGACCTGCGTCTCGAAGCAACGTGCACATCGTGTTAGTTGCCGATTTCGGCTGCAAGCTGGCTTTTGTCGGCCGAGGTATTCCCTGGCTGCTGCACAGCTCTCAGCGTATGGTTTCTGCCATCCGCACTACGCCAGAAGTTCAAAAATATTTGGATCGCAACTCCCCCCATCCAAACAAAACGATGATGGCCAGCTTCTTTTGGTTCATCTTTGTGAAACATAAGCTGGGCCAGCGAAAACCCGGTATATCACTCCGTCCCGGCATTGCAGGGATGCGAGGTCAATGGTCTAGCGACTACGGCGTGTGTTCTCATTTGTTCAGTCCCCTGCCGCCGACCTCGCTCTCTCCCCGATGCCCGCCAACACTTATTTGGTCAGGAGCTTTCGCCCCTCCCCTCCCTCCCGGTAACCATGAATGGTGGTCGAGAAGATTATGTTGTGCGGGGTCGAGGACCCTCACTCCGCGCAAAGGGGATAATCGCACCACGTTGTGTAATATTGGTCAAGCACCCTCGAGGCAGTTACACAAGGCTTACAACAACGTCTCTTGGAAGAAAAGCACAAGAAAATATAGAAAGTCATGCGCAGCTGTCATCCGTACACAAGGAAATACAAGATACCGAACACCCTTAGCAGGATGCAGCGCACCCTTCATGCGACTCGCCAAATACTTCACGGTGCTTCGCGCGTGGTGATGTGAGAGCCTGGTCCGGTGAGAACCCGGCGTGCTCCGTCCCGGCTTTGTAGGGATGCGAGGTCAATGGTCTAACGACTACGGCATGTACGACTATGAGTACACCCCCCCCCCCCTCCCCATCACCCCCCCTCCCCCTTCCCCTTGCCGCTCACCGCCACGGTCTCTCTCTCTCTCTCCGATGCCCACCAACGCTTAACTGGTCAGGAGCTTAGCCTCCGGTGCGAGCGGTGCGGCCACGACCGAGTCCGAGCGGAGCACTCCCTCGCCGAGCTGCCGGGAGCGTTGGTCCTGCACGTCAAGCGCTTCAAGCCCGCGGCGTCGGCACCACCACCACCGCCGCCGCCGCCGCCCAAGGCCAAGGTGGTTGAATCGGCGTCCGAAGCCACCTCGCCGGTTGCGGGGTCGGCAAAATCGCCGCTGTTGCCGCCGCCGCCACCGGTGGGACGGTCATCAATCGCGCCAGCGGGAGCTTCCGCGACCGCCGGCGTTCCGTCCCCGGAAGATGACGCCGGTTGCGCGGCTGCGGTGGACGCCGGCGGGTCGTCCGAAGGCGTCGTCGCTAGTACTCCTCCCGTTGCCGTCGTGGGGGGAGGGAGCACGGGGGCTAGCAGTCGGAGCGGGAGCAGCGGAAGCGGCGTCACCAGCGGCGGCGGCGGCGGCGGCGGTGGCGGTGGCCGGTCCTATGGCGGCGTGTCGTACGTCAAGCTGTCGTCGCCGGTTTCCGTCCCTCTGGAGCTGGACCTCGAGCGGTTCTGCTCGGGGTACACGGGAAACGCCCCCGCAGAGGACCTCGGCAAGCAGGTGGACTCCCTCGATGGGCTAGGCATCCTCCCCCGCGCCCCCCGTTCCCCCTCGGCGTTCGCCAGCCTCCGCGCCGCGGGGACCGGCCTCTGTGCCGCCATCCGAGCGGCACCGAAATCCGCCGCCGCTGCTTCGTCAGGCGGCGGCGGCGGTGGGGAGAAGCGGGCCTCTGATGACGTTTCGGTTGACCTGTTCGCGCGAGAAGGCTGGTCATCGACGTCGTCGTTGACATCGTCGGGCCGAGACGGTGTCGGGGAAGGTGGTGGCGGCGGAAGCGCCGCCCCGGGGGTGAACAGGCGGGCCCTGGGGCCGCTGGGGGAAACGACGAACAGCAGCACCGGCGGCGGCGGCATCGGCGACAGGAGGAGGGGCATCCGGGAGACGGTGGCCGAGAGGAGGGAAAGGGTGGCAAAGGTGATTGATGGCGTTTGTGGTTTGTTCGCGTTCATGTGTGTTGATTCGTGCTCTGGGGTTGTGTGTGCAAGGCCCGACCAAGAAGGGGGCTTTGTTGTTGTTGTTGCTGTTGTACTGCTGGCGCGAAGGCACATGCTTTTTTCCTTCGCGCCGGCTCTATTTTAGTCGCGATACTTTAGTAGGTTTGTGCGAGGAGCCCACCAACCCCGCTTGCGTTTGTATGTGCATTGTCGTCCCGTGTGATTTGGTCTCTTTAGTCCCGGAAATTTGATCGATCGACGACGGATTTCTCACCCATGTACCTACCTACAAATTCATCCCGCATCAGGAGAAGGAGAACAGCAGCGCCGCTGCCGGCGGTGGGGACCGCTGGGCGGACCAGGACGAGACGACGAGCCGCAATCGCAGCCACAAGCTCCACAACAACGTCTGTCTCGGGCCTGACGGGAAGGTCGACTACCTCGACACCCTGAGGTCGCTCAACAAGCCCAACAGCGCCGGTGGCCTTCGTGATCGCCGGCGGTCACCCCTCCCGGGTGTGGGGCTTTCCCCGCTCGGCGGAACGGGGAGGGGATCGGGGAGGCTGTTTAGCGGCGGCGACGGGGGCGGGCGCCGCTCGGACCTCGGTCGGAGCGACCTCCGGATGGCCGACCATGCAAGCGCGGGGTTGTTGGCGCAGAGGGCGTTCAAGAGGAAGAGAAGGCAGGAGATCGACGACGACAACGAGAAGCAGGTGTGAGGAGCCGGTTATTGTGTGCCTTCCCCGATCGTGGGTGGGTGGTGTGTGTTGCCCCTGCGGTGGGTTTTGTTGTCGGGCCTGAGTTCCGCCGGCTGTTTTTCCATGGTGCCAGCTCGGTTCGGCAGGAGCAGGAGGGGAGATGGTTGGTGGCACAGCGGGGCGCTTTTGCAGTGGACCGCCCCTCCCACGGACCAATGTTTTCCCACGTAACCGCTCCCCTCTAGCCAATAGTCTAACAGCGAACGCATGCAAAACATGAGTAACACCCCTCCCCCCCTCCCGTACGCGGCGGCACGGCAGTTGGAGGAGGCCCTCGCGGCGTCGAAGAGGGAGGCGTTCGGCCCGGAAGGCGAGGCTCAAGAGGACGAAGCGGCAGACCTCGCGAAGGCCATTTGTTTGAGCCAGGAGGGCGGCGGCGGTGGCGGCGGCGGTGGCTGTAGCGACGAGTGGGCGTGCGCGGCGTGCACGTTCATCAACGAGGCTTCCATGGTCGCGTGCGTCATGTGCGGAACGCCTATGTCAGAGCCTCCGCCGCCGCCACCTCCGGGCACCCCTCCTGCGGAGACCGAGATGAGCAGCCTCGCTGGCGACGGCGGCGGCGGTAGCGCCGACGGAAAGAGCGGGGAGAGTAGTGGAGCACAACGGAGAGGGTCCGGGGCAAGAGGAGGGGGCGAGGAAGAAGCGGTCGTGGCCCTGGGCGATGTCCGGCAGTGGACGGCGGAAGACGCTTCGCCGCAACCGCAGCCGCCGCCGCCGCTCGGAAGAGGCGATGACGCCAAGAAGAAGCAACAAGAGAGCCCGCCGCAGCCACCACCGGAGCAACCTCAGGCCCTGAGGGTCCCCAGGAAGGGCCCCCTCCGCGCCCGGTACGAGCTCCGCGGCATCCTACATCACCTCGGGCGGCACGCCTTCGCCGGGCACTACGTCACCGATGTCCGCGAGGAAGGGGGTGGCGGCGGCAGGGGCGGCGGCGGCAGCGGAGGCGGCGGCAGTGGCGGCGGTGGTGATGGTGGGATCGTTGGGGCCGCCGGAAGTTGGGGCGGAAAGGCGGGGCGCGAGGGCGGAGGGAGGGGTTGGAAGCGGTACGACGACAGCGTGGTTTCTCCGTTGACGGAGGCGGAGGCCCTCGGCGGGGAGGCGCAGCGGACGTGCTACCTCTGCTTCTACTCTCTAGTGGAGGACGCCGGAGTAGACGATGATGTCTGCGAGGGCCTCTCCCCCTGTGTCCCTTGTCGAGTAGACGATGACGTTTGCGAGGGCCTCTCCCCCTGTGTCCCTTGTCGAGTAGACGATTTCCTGGCAACGGTCCCCCCCTCGTCGTCGGACGCGGTGTCTCCGAGCCATGGTCGTCGAACTTGACCCTCCAGCTCGGTTGGTGTCCTGCTCTCCGTCGAACCGGGTCGCTCTTGGTTGGATGCGTGTGTGTCGTTTCACCTTCTTGGGGGCGGAACTGAGCGGTATCATACAGTTGCTTTTTTGTCCCGCGGTTGTTGACGGCAGGGGGGGGGGGGGGGGGGGCAGAGTACCATTCACGGACACAACCCCCCGGGATGGAGCAGTTGGCAAGAAACTTGCAACAACGGGGCGCACGCTCGTAAACTACACAGGGAACGCAGGACGAAGATATGCCGTGGTTATGCGCGACTGCTTGATGCAAAAATCGAGTCCAAATTATTGGTCCAGAGTATGGCACACACGGCAGATGAACCTAAAAAACGAGTTTCGAGCTCTGGTTCTGTTTGATTTTGGGATAGAAAATATGCCCCGTTTCATCGCGGTTTGGGGGGGTGGGGTACGTAGACCTTGCGGAACCCCCCTTGCGGGATGCTGCTCGGTTCACGTTGTTGTATGTGTATCCATCTGGGCAGAGTGACGGACGAAGAAAGGGCAAGCTCCACCCCGACCGGCTTGTGTGCCCATGCCATGTACAGTATTTCGGATGAAACACGACGGGCACCGGGATCTCTTTGGTTTTTGAGTCCCCGCGGGTGTCGAAGACTAGTAAGTTGCTCCCGCCGGCTCGCGTTGTATTCTTTAGTTGTTTCACAAGGAAGGGCGCTTGTAAAACCAAAGTCCTTGACGTCCTCGCATTGTATACTTACAGTGTTTTGGTCTTTGAATTGTCCAGCACCACCACAACGCTATTAGAGTCTTGATCGTTTATCCGCCGTGTGTTGTTGATGGTGTGAGTGCATGCTCGTGTGCGTGTGTCATGGGTGTAGAGGATGCGCGGCGTGGGGGGGTGTCCGGTGAAGCGTAGCCGCGTCCGTCCATTATCCATGCGACCTCCCAGATCGTATCTCGTTGGCATGAAAGACAAGACCATGCGGTGGGTATGTAGACCGCGGTCGGGTCACGCCGGCAGCAATTGCGACGGTGGTTATCTGCATTTAGAAAACAAATAGGGGCCCTGGTATGCGTTGATTCGTCCCCGTTCAGCTGGAGTGGAGATTATAGCATATGTAGGCGGTAGGAGGAGAGATCCGCACCAAGTTTCTGACTCGTCATACACATGGCGTGTGACAAGCTGTGTGGCGCACCGGCCGGGGTAAAGAGCGAAATATCGGGAATATTCGGTGTCTTGTTTTTCGATTGTACCCCTCTTTTGTGCAATGTTCCCTCTTTTTGGAAATGTAGATAATGCAGTAGGGTTGTTGACCCCCCGTCTTGATGTCACTTCCTGATGTTGAAGTTGAAGCAGTCGGGCAGACTTGACTTGCACAGGGTTGTGGCAAGGTCCAGTCGCTGGGGAGGAGGCGGTTGGACGGAGGCGGGCTTCGAATGGATACGGGATGCAGGGGTGGGTTGGTCGGCGAATGGGAATATGTTCGGCACAGAACAAGATTTTCTCCAGAGAAGAAGGGGGGGGTCATTTGACGCTAGGGCGAACTCGCTGTCGCGGCGTTGTCTTGTCGTATGTATTGTCTGCCGCCTTGGAAATTGGAAATTGTGTCTTAGAGCACGGCCGGACGTCGCTCTTGCATCAGAACAAAGATCAAAACTCGCCGTCCCCACCAGGCCATCCGTGCGTTTCTGCGATTACACATGGATCAGTGTTTCACGAAGAAAGCGGCTGGCTTGTTTGACTGTTGGTGCCGTAGTTTTCCCTCCTTCGTTTCTGGTATGTGCAGTGGCTGCCACCATTTATCTCCTTTATGTATGGCAATCGATCATTCGTTGCTGTCGTGCTGTTCTGTCCTAACAGTTGTCACTTCGAATTTGTTGTTGTTGTCTTGACGAAAACATCAAGCCTCTGTGCTGCTCCGTATCATCTTCTATCGTACGAACTGACCGATGGTCTTGCTGACTGGCGAAGACGCCTCCGTGGTCACAGGCTCGCCCCTACCACCCAAACGGGGATGCAAGTCATGAAACGTCAGAGACTAAAAAGGACGAGTTCGACGAAAACGCGACAAATTCAAAAACCAGACCTCGCAGCAGTTGTCATGTACGTCTGACAACGGAGGTCGACACAGACAAGAGATTGTTCACAGAGCCTACCGCTCCCACTCGGCACGCGAGGCCGATGAGCAAATCAGTATCAGTTTTACCAGGTCCAGTAGCTTTCTTATGTCATGGTTTAAGTCTACACAAACGACTTTAGACTACTCTTCATTGTATGGCAGTGAGTACTCGAATGATCTTTCTATACCGGCTCCCCACCACAAGGCACCCAGCCGCAGAATATCAGATACGGTCTGTTATAGGCATTCGCGTATGCATACCAGATAAGACCCAATACACCAGTGTCAACAACGAGATCCACCTGTTAGACTATGTCGTCGCAAACAATACTCTAACGCAATTGTATTTTCATGTCAAGACAACAACAACACTTACCATCACCGGTAATTTTACACCCCTAAGCCAATTTCCTCCCACCGCCTTCTCGGTCGCTCCCGCTTCTTTCAGGCCACTTCGGTGTGAGCATGCCTTGGCGAGGGTCCGTCACATACATGTTCGAGGCCATGTTCTGGGACGTATCAGCGTTTCTTTCCCCCTTCGACCCCCAGCCCCCCTCCTCTCTCCCCCCCCCTCCCTCCTGTGCTTGTGCTTCGGCCAAACACCAAACACCAAACAGACCATGTGGTCATCACGCCTCTGAAGCGGAAACCCTGTTCTCTAGGCCTAGCGTTCTAGCGTCCGCCCTTTGAAGCGATGCCATTTCCGTGGACTGAAAGTGACGCGGACACCGGTCATACGGGCATAGACTAGTCGGTGTTCGCATCCTCGGCGGTTGCTACTGAAGTAAGCTCAGACACGCAAAAAGGAATGAGAATTTCTTTGAAGCAGGTATCCGTGCGACCAGCTGACTACCGTAGAGGCGAACGGTTTTGCCCATAGCCTTGAGGACAACACTCCACTTAAGGGAAACCTAATGTGGTATGTGCCTATCTCACGGTGTCTACATTACACACCTAGCCAAGGTTCGCATTTTGACATCAAGCTGAACCTTCGCTTGTGAGTGGCCCGATCGTAACCACGCGCCCACCGAGAAATGTAGCGATAGCCGTTCGAGTCAGCAATTAGCGGAATGCGCGAGTCCCATACGCCATGGTTGTCTAGGGCCCAAATCAAGACTTCATGGTGTCCGTACTCGGCTGCCTTCATGGTGGTTTGGTCATCCCAAGGACAACCGTTTCCGCGCAGCCATTGCAGAACCTTGAGGTGCCCTCGTTCGGCCGCGATCGAACAAGAGCGTGTATCCCACGGACAGCCGTTCGCTCGTGCCCAGCGCAAAACCTCAAGGTTCCCTCCGCAGGCCAACAACGCGAAAGTGTAGGTGTCCCACACGCAGCCTTTTTCAATAGCCCACTTCAACACCTTAAGGTGCCCGCCCTGTGCTGCAAGGTCACACGTCCGCTTGTCCCATGGACATCCTTTCCTCCTCGTCCACTTCACGATGGTAAGGTGGCCGCCCCGTGCAGCCCCGGCGCATGGACCCCCCCCGTCCACACGTTCCATGGTCCATACAGATCAAGGACAGTATCGTTCCCGGAGCCACTGAAGCATGGCCATATCTCCCCTGCGCGCGGCCCAGAAACAGCACTGTCGAATGTACATCCATTTATTCGTGCCCACACAAGGACTTCGAAGTGTCAGGCACGTGCGGTCGATGCGCATGCGGATGAATCCCAAGGGCATCCGCGTTGCCGAAGCCACTTCAGGACGTCAAGAAACCCGCCTTGGGCAGGACCGGCGCACGCCCCTTGGTCCCAAGGACACACGCTCGAGCCCGTCAACTACCAAATCCAGTTTGACCTCGCCCATTTCAGGACCTGGAGGTGACCCCCCGTGGCAGCCTGCCGGCATGTATTTGCATCCCAGCCGCAGCCCTGTCCCCGAAGCCTTTTGAGAATCCGAAGGTGTCCCCCCCTGGCGGCCTCAGCACAAGTCGCTGGGGTCCACCCGCAACGATTAGCTTTCGCGAACTCAAGGAGGCCCGGTTTGCCCAAACGAGCAGCGGCGCTGCAGACCCTTCTTTGCCGGACGTCGTAGGGTAGGCCGACCTCCAGGCACTGTGCGAGCTGCCTGATGGACGTATCGGCCACCACGGGTCGGGTTCGCGTGGCTCGTGGCCTCCACGCGCGCCTGAAGGCCTTCGACGCCAGAGCGACGAACAGGTACTGGTCCTGATCCACGAACTGTACCAGACACGACAAGATGTCCTGGCATTCAAGGGCGCGTGTGCTTGCCACCGTGTCTCCCTGCGCCACAGAGAGCGGCGGTGGCGACGGAACGACGTGCAGGGGGGGCGGAGGGTGTCATTCAGCGAGGGGGCAGAGGATGCCGTTCAATGGGTACAGGCGCGCCGTATGTACACGGTAGAATCCTTTATGACAACGACCCGGGGGACGGTCTTGTTCTTTGGTGAAAAGAACACTCCTGGGCGATTGTTTTCAAATAGTACAACAACCCGTGGGCGAAAAGTTTCCGGTGGCGTTGTCTCTTTTTCTCAGTTGCGAGGTACCCGTACCCACCACACAGCGCTGACCCACGATATATCGGGGCTCAACAGCATCTTGGAGAAAGCATACAAGAAGCACAAGAAGGTCGATTGGGGACGGTTGCGGCCTTCGCCGGCGGTGGATGGTACGCAATCCGACCCCAGGGGTAGTGCTCGGGCTATGTAGACCTCTGCGAACCCCCCGTGGGGCGCCTCAATAATTTTCTGAAAAGATTGCCTCGGAGCGATTTAAAAGAGAGGCAGAAGGGCGAAAACAAATGAAACACACATATCGAGGGTCTATCTTGAAGTGTTTGTGCTACCTCTGCGGCAAGTGTCTTTGGGGGTGGGCGTTCTCATGGAGGGGGCCGTTCATCTCGAAGGATATGACCGTACGATATGACCGTACGCCTAGTCCATGGAAATCCGTTAACTGTATGTAAAATTCTTGAGTAAATCATGGGCAAGCATGACACGAAAATGCACACAAGATTTTCATGTGCAGTCGACAGCTCGTTCAATCCACCCAACCGCGTAGTTCACTCGACTCAGAAGACCAACAGGTGATAACTTGCAGAATTGACAACAAAAAAACAGTTCGACTCATCGGTGGGCGCCAGTCCGGCCTTTTCTCGCCTTCAAACGGGTTCCGTACACTTGCGGATTGGGGCGTTCAATGGGCACGCTTTGTGGCCGATTCATTTACGCCTGTTCCATAGTATCTACAGGTGTGCGTCGAGGCACGGATTGACGTTGATCACGAACTATTACCAATTGGGGGTGGCGCCCAGACGGACACCTCACACGATGAACTGCGTCAAAGAGATAGAATCGGTTTACTCACATCAGATAGGCTATCTGGTGGACTTGGTCCGCATTGCCGGTGGCGGATCCTCCTCCTCCATCTGGTCCGGTGCCTGCTACCCCGCTCTCGTGGGCCGATTTCGTTTCCTCAACCTCTTGGTTGCTGTACGCAGGAGACGGTTCGGGAGGAGTGGAGGGCGCAAGCAGCACGCGCAACAGCAGTGGGGTCAAACCATCGGCCAGGTCGGGCAAGATACTCCGTACAACATGTTTCCCAGAACAAAATTTGCTGTAGATGCCTTGCGAATGTTGGTATCGATTTTTCTGTGTTCCACGTAGATCGCTGGGGCTCTGGGTGACCACCACAGACTTCGCGGTGCAACATGCGAGGCGTGATGCCCGTTGGGTCCGTATGGGTCTCCCGGGATACTCATTCATTCGTGGCTTTCTCGATGGAAATATCGCGTCTTGCGAGCATCTACATACACTCAGGCCTATGCATGGCCATCTTCCCGTTGTTCTCGTCACCATACAGGTACCCTGTTCCTTGATATGGGGTTGCTTGTTCCAACACAATAAATCCATGGCAATAACGGCCGTTTCGATTGCCGAGATGCTGGCAATATTGTGCTTGTATCTCACGTCTACAGGGAAATAAACAGACGCTCTTTCGCTAGAATCAATGTGGTTTTCAAGCCCGACCTCGGAAATAGACAATACCTGGAACACGGCTTGATGTGGATGACACTCTCGTCGGCCCCAACCCTTGACATGTTGGGGTCACCAACATGACGCAACCGACGCACGACCGTGGTCGGGAGTTGCTTGGCATGAAGAACACCATCGACTCAGATGGACTGTCATAACCCATCTTCCTCCTCCGGTCTCTCTGCGGCTGGTGCTGCCCGTGCCGCTCCTGTTGATGCCGACACCTGCAGTCTCAGCACCGGCCGGTGATGAAGCAGCAACCGGGGATGCTGCAGCTGGCTGGACGTTGAGGTTTGAGTCCCGTGCTTTATCTTGTGGTGCTCTCAGCGCGAAGAATGACCTGGCAAAGGGGGACTTGGATCTCGATGGCCGTTTGGAAGCTACGCACGAAGGCCGAGAGACAGGGGACGGGGGCGGCGGGTCAAGCAAATGTGGGTGATGGCGATGTTCTTCCACACAACGTTTCCCTAGTACGTTCGAACACTCGGCCGCAACCCAGACAAAGCGTACAAGAAACGGGCGAAATGCCAGGAACAGGATAGGACCATGTCGCCACCAAAACCTCGCAAATCGGGAAGATGTGACGGATGCCAATGTATAGCCTCGCGGGCGGGCTGTTTCGCACAAGGGTGACGAGAGCGAGACAGAAATTGGAATATCTGAACGCGAGACAGAGCCGCACAGCGGTAGCGTTTCTTTGTGGCAAGCCACGCAGTCTCACGAGTTGAATGTATGTGCACGCTCGGATAAATGTCACAACGATACTACTCAAACAACCAGGGAACTGAATCGTTTTCCCCGTCATGCCAACTGCCTTATTGAAAGTTACCAGGTTCTGCCGTCCCCATCGTTGTTCCCGATCAAATATTCGTGGGAGCGGAAATTGAATTTCATCCGTCGTCAAGGGACGGCACGTCCGTCCAATCGTCACGCCATGCCGGCAAAAATATGCTTGTCCTTTTGAGATCTGTTAGCAATATGAATCCGGCACAAAGTGGAAACCAGGATATAGGTATCTTCCCAGGAGTAGGGACGCACATACAACCGTATAGATCCGTGACCCCAGGAACGACGTTCTCGAGGTCTGAGGATCTTTACAACGAAAAGACCCTCCGTCTGCTGTGACCAGCCGGAGGGTAGAAGCGAGCCCCTGAAGCTCACTCTCACCTTTCACCCTCGCAAGGCTGACTAACGTCAGCCACGCTTGGCCATTCCTTGCCACATTGCAATAAGAGCGAAATTACCTCCGTTGGTGAACGGTTATTCACCACTTCAGGGACCTTTGCTGATAACGGAGCAAGGGTATTCTCATTGGCGTTCGACGAAAGTCA